CCAAATATAACGTACTTAGTATAAAGGACAGCAAACAGTGGAAAGACAACTCCGATCTTCGGGTGATGACTCCAAATCCACAGGGACAACTGACTGGTTGATCACAAGCCTAATTCCTCCAAACTCTAGCAATCTGGTACCCATCCGGGATTTTTCCAAAGATTTAAAAAAATAAAGCAAGCGTAAGTACATGTCGTACTCAACAAATATAACATGGGGTTCATAAGGCTCAAAAGGCTGACACTGGTTTAACATCAATTAGCTTTTAATGAGTCATCTTTTAGCAATTGGGTGGCAACAAGTTTATTCACAAGCCCATACAAACATATGATCAGGTAAACATGAATAATGAATAGCATAAACAATTAACCATTAATGAGCATCTTTATCATTAGTATCATTCATGTTCATCATCAATTCCGTAAGGGTCCAAGGCCGCTCGTGACCGTGAGCACGACTGATATACCAGTTTTACACTCTGTAGAGGTTGTACACTTTCACTGTGAGTCGTGATTTACCCTTTTGCCTGAGGTGATCGGCCTCTTGACCCACTACCAAGGAAGGTCGTCAGGGTTCACTATGAAGCCTTTCAAAGGTTCGTCTAACAAGTTAGGGCCATTAGATTCACTTGGCAAACAGATGTAGGAACCCTCTTTCCCGATGGCACAATGACACGCAACCTATACACAAGGGGACAGAGGCTGTCCTATACCTGATTCGTCAAGCCATTCTTACGCCAATAAATGTAACCTCTAACAAGCTAGAAAAGGTCCTCATACTAAGCTAAAACTAGAGCCATGTAGCCCTCACAGTTGTACTATAAGTTTCGGATGTTCGCTTACAGATAAGTCCTTAGGGAGAGAAATCTAGAGCACCATAAAAACAGCCCAATGCTCTAGCCCCTGGTTCCATGATGCTAAGAAAACATCTTTTAATGTTTATTGCATATACCATTAGTCAAGTTACAAGATCATGGTCTTTAATTGAGCACTAGCATCATACTACCCAATGCAATAACCCATAGGAATCAAGGCACAAGGTACAGAGTACTAGGAAATCCTTAGCGGTAATCAAGGTAGACACATGCAGTGTAAATTAAATGATTAAAGGTGTATAGGACAACAAGGATGATCCCATGCTATATTTACCTTAAACGTATATCCTTCTTCTGTTGATTTGTAACCTCCAAAGGATTGCTTCTTGTTCACCACGTAAAACTCACCGACTAGACAAGATCATTAAGCACCACACAAGCATCCATGCAATCATACACGAAGCAAACAATAGATCTAAATTAGAACAGGACACCAAATATAATAAATAGCAAGTAAAAAGGTTTTAAAGATGTTCTACACGTTACTACAACACACAGACGCGAAAAGCACTCTAATCGGAGCTATAACGAAAAAGTTATGAATTAAACAAGATTTCCTTTAATAAAATAATAGATTAGATCCAACCTCAAATTTTATAAGTTAAAAATATATCTAACAGTAGTATGAACATGTAGATTATGGAATTACGAACCTAACACAACTTGAACGGGTCAAATCGGAGTTAAAACAGAGAAGATATGGCCTACAGAAGGTAGTGGCAATTTTGTAAATATTTTGAAATCAATTTTGTATTAAAAATAATTAAAACCCGAATTAAAATAGTCCTGTGGACCGGGCGTCGTTTTTGGAAAAACACAGGGGTCAAAACACAAAAACTAGGGGCATTGATTGAATGATTTTTGAACTACTTAGGACGGCGGGTTGATTTGAGAAAATTGTAGGGTCTCTTTAGCAAATAAGCCAGCTGAATTGGTATCTTCTAATCTAGACCGTTGATCTCAGATCGGATGGTGCAGAGCAAATTGGGGCACGGGGTCACCGGAGCGGCGCTGTGCGCGGCGGTGCCATGACCAGGGAGCAGAGGAGCTCGCCGGAGTTCGTCGTTCTCGACGTTCTGGGACATCATAGGTCAAAAAGAAAGCACGGGGAGAAAATGGAAGACACGACGAACTCACCAAGGGATCTTTCGAGGTTGAAGATGGGACCGCGACATTTGGCAGCGCGGTAGAGCGGACGGCAAGCTCCGGTGACAGTGCACGGACGAAATTAAAGCATGAGGGGGCAAAAGACGGTCCTTGGAGGCTTCCTTACCGAGATGCGAAGGCCGGAGAGCAGCTTAGATCGATGGCAAAACTTGGCCATGGTGGAATCGCATGCGGCGGCGGTGTTCTAGGGTTGTGGCGGCGCTTGAGAGCTCGGGGTAGGGCTAGGCGAGGACGGAGCACCTCGGGCGCTATTTATGGGGCTCGGTAGCTTGAGGCGCAAGTCAAGGTGAGGAGACGGGGCGGAGATAGAGTTGGCAGCGGTAGAGTCCACATTGGGGATGGAAGGTAGGAGACGCGACTGACAAGGAGGGCCCACCTGTCAACGAGACGGGGTGCGGGGCCGATCCGGCAGCGAGACAAAGCAAGGAGGGCGCAGCTAACTGGGCCTACTCGCAGCGGGGAGGATCTAGGACCGTGACTGCTTCGGCCAGAGCTGGGTTGGGTTGCGAAGCTTAGGGTGAAGCCGGGCCACTTGGCCTTGGGCTCGCGGAAGCGGAGGAGGGAGTGGGGTTGCCGGCCCAGAAACAGAGATGGAGGGGTTTTTTTCTTTTTCTATTTTGTTTTCAAAACCAAATTCAAATGTAAACCAAATCAAATTCAAATAGAGTTTCAAATATACTTTTCACTCGAATAAAAATGAGAACTTTTGGTAAGTTTTCCAAAAATAAATTTTACAACTTTTTAAACTCTTTTATTTTCTAATTTTCTCTTCATTTCTTTTACTTCAAAGCCACTTTCAAATTTATTTCCAAGAATTTGAATCATTTTGAATTTTGGATTCAAACTACTCAACCAAATAAATCAAATGCACTGGCATGTATGCATAATCATGTTGCTACACCCTATGAAGAATTTTAATTTAATGAAAATTTTTATTTTCCTATATTTTCATGAGCACAAAAATACAGAATTAAATCATTTTACTCTATTTTAGAAGAAGCAAATTTTAGGGTGTTACACCTCTGAGTTAGCTCATCCACAGTACCAAGATCTTGTTGCCATGCTAGAACTAAACAAAGATGATTATTAGAGAATTCATAGAACTTATGAGTTGAAAACTTTGTTGTATATACACTTGGGTTGATGATTACCGTAGACAGAAGTAAATATTGTTTTTATCATGCTTAGAAACATATATTTGGATTCATTTCAATTTCTAAAAAAAATTCACTGACGAGAAATTTTAAAATTTTAAAATAATTCACTGGCGGTTATGCTACTAAACCACCCTTAGAAAATAATTTCCAAAGATGGCTCTTTTATGTAATCTGCTTGTGTAAAAATTTACATAGGTGGTTGGTTTAAACCAACCGCCTCTACATATAAATGCATTTACACTAACGGCTGGCTTAGGTGAACCACCGCTAGTGCAAATCTATTTTACATTGGCGGTTGGCTTAAGCAAACCGCCAGTGCAAATGGATTAATAAAACTGTCGCATCTCAAGAAGACGCCTGTAAAGTTTCCTATTTTCACTAGCCTTTTACACTGGCGGTTGCCTTAAACGCCAATAGAAATAGGTCTGGAACCGCCTGTACAAAGCTTTGTTGTACTAGTGACAATAATAAACATAGGATGTAGGGTATTATCTCCTCGTGAGAGCGAACCGGACCTATATAAGCTTCATGTCATGTATGCTACTGCCTCCTTCAAAATTATAAGTCGTTTTTTGTTTTTCTAGGTACATAGCTTTTGCTATGCACACCTAGATATATGGTATGTCTAGTTACATAATAAAATCGGTTGTATGTTGAAAAGCCAAAATAACGTATAATTTGGAACGAAGGGAGTAAGTACCATCTAGTTTCTTTTGGCACAAACAGCCAATAGTATTGTCGGTGACAAAAACACAGACACTTGTATTGCTCGGAATTATACTAAAACGAATCGTAGTATATATAACCTCTCCGTTGAGTGTGAAAACTACCTTTAAAATTTCAAAAATCATTGAAAGATCTAATGATAATTATGCAAATTGAATTATGGATTTTAGACATCAAATAAATTAATAATATGTTAGTTTGAATTTGAAAGCTTGGATCTAAAATTGCCATAATTTAAAAATGATTTATTTTAGGTTTGGAGTCCAAACCAGCCGTAACAAATTAGAAAATTGGATCTTATACAATTTAGAAAGACACATTTTGCTTATCAAAATACAAACCAATGTTAGGTCTTAATACATATTTACATGCCGTAAACCACTGTCGACCGCACCTTCCTTTCGCCATTCCAGTAGGACCAGCAATCCAAATCCAAATCAAGATTTATTTGCAAAACAAGAAAATATGTTTCGCTGAAATTTGGCTTATGCTGATACTTATACTGATTTGTTGTGAGAGAAAAACACTATTCATTCGCTGAAAAATACCGATAAAGTAGTTCAAGCGAACAGATAATATCAAGATACAATTAGCAAACCTTCAATAAATTTGAGGAAGCCGAGACTCGTGTTTGTGCTAAGCGGGCCTAATAATAAGAGTAAAAGCCCAGACCACAGGTTATATATACATTCTTGGCCCAGTAGCCAACCAGGCCCAGGGAGTCAAAGGAGAGGCTTCTAGAGTCTCCTGGAGGCACGAATGCATGCAGCGCTATCGCCGCCGACATCTTCTTCAGTCGTCAACCCGCCAGAAACACCTAGAAGACCAACCCAACGAACCATCTCGAGTTCTCCTGCAAGTGTCTCCTCGCCCCAGAAGGTCACGTCGTCCTCGTTCCTATAAAATGGCTCGTGGATCTTTCCTCCGACGATCAGCAAGACCTCGACGCAAGCTAACGATCAGCAGAGTCGTCTACTTTCCTCCAAAACACCATCGGGTAGCAAATGGCAGATGCAGTTGTGTCCAGCATGAAGTCGGCGTCAGCGGCCGTCGTTCTTGCGGTAGCCGCGGTGACAATGGCGTCTCTTGCGGCACCGGTGGTCGCCCTGGTGCCGTACGGGCGGGCCGGCGGCGGGCTGTTCGACCTGATGCTCCTCGACGACCCGTTCCGGGTGCTGGAGCAGTCGCCGCTCGCGGCGTCATCGGTGCCCAGAGCCAGCCTCGACTCGGCTTCGGTGGCGCTGGCGCGGTGCGACTGGAAGGAGACCGCCGAGGCGCACGTCATCTCGTTGGACGTGCCCGGGGTGCGGCGGGAGGACGTGAAGGTGGAGGTGGAGGAGAACAGCCGCGTCCTGCGGGTCTCCGGCGAGCGGCGGGCCGACGAGGAGAAGGAGGGCGAGCGGTGGCACCGAGCCGAGCGCGCGGCGGGCCGGTTCTGGCGCCGGTTCCGGATGCCTGCCGGCGCCGACGTCGACCGCGTGTCCGCCAGGCTGGAGGACGGCGTGCTCACCGTTACCGTGCCCAAGGTGGCCGGGCACCGCGGCCGGGAGCCGCGCGTCATCAGCATCGCCGGCGCCGACGTGGCCCGCGCGGAGGCGGCGGAGGTCAAGGCGTCCAAGGCCGAGATGTGAATGTGATTCGACTTTTCGGCGTGGTGATGCATTCGCCGTTTAGTGATGGCTGATGCTTGTTCTCTTTTCGTGTGTCCCGCGCGTGTTGATCCTGTTGCGTGCGTCTGTAATACGTACTCATCAAAGAACAGTATTTCTTTGTTTCTCCGTGAGTTAATCCGTAATGCCAGCAAGCGGATGTTCGTGGGCCAAATGGCCAGCAGCCTAACGAGCCCACCCTACTTTTTCTCCACTCTCTCTTACACGTAGGTCCGAACGTGAGCTCCAATTCTCCTCCTTTCGGACGGGAAACACAGCCGCTGATGCTTGCTCGTGCGGGGGCAGGCGTGCTGCTTCCTGCACCCGCTCTTCAACCCGGCCCATACCGACGGAACCCAGGCGGGCCGCCGTGTGAGTCACTCCTGTCCCCGCACCCTGCCGCCGCGCCGTTGTCCCCGTCGCTCCTCGTGGGCATCCTCTCCAACCTCACCAAGATCGGCGCCTCCTTCCGGCTGTCGTGTGTGGCCAGGCGGCTAGAAGAGGAGGCCATTGCTACCGGGCCTAAGCCAGGCGTAGGCGCAAGTGGCCGCTGCCAGGTCATGCCACCATTCTCGGCCGCTCTGCTCTGCTTTGTCGAGAAGAAGGGGGGTCAAAACGCATGTTCCAAGCATACATTTCAGGTGTTTTAAATGTTTCATGGATATGTGGCAAGTGTTTTATATGAATGTTGCAAAAGTAGATCGGGATGTTGCATATGTTGCAAGCTTTTTGTTCCCAATGTTTCATCTATTTTTTTTCAGAGGCATGTTGCAAGTGTGTTTATCTGGATGTTGCATATATTTCATATATGGTTTCAAGTGTTTTTTCATGTGTGTTTTTTAAGTGTTTTATATATATATTTCAGGTGTTTCATTTATCTTTAGACGTATGTTGCAAGCGTTGCATCTTAATGTTTTAAAAAGTAGATCTAGTGTTGCACATGTTGCAATGCGCGTGAGAAGTGAAGGGGCACGAGTGGTCCAAGCATCGGTGCGCGAAACGCAGGCACGGGCGGGGGCATGGAGTGCAGGCACGCGTGGGAAAACAGAGTACAGCGTGGACGTCCAGACATCCGGGCGCTAGCACTACCGTAAGTTAATTACTCTATCCGTCCCAAAATAAACTGATATTCTAGGTTTTAGAGGGCAAACTAAGGGCTTGTTTGGATTCTCCCCTCTAAACTTTAGAGCTAAAGCTCTAAACAGACAGTCTAAAGTTAACTCTAAACTTTAGCCCACCTCATATTAGGGCTTTAGGCCTTAAAAGTGATCTAAAATACTCTAAAGTTTTTAGAGCTCTATACCTTATATTATATTAGAGGTTAAAAGTGCCTAAAAAAAGTTTTTAGAGCTCTAAACTTTACACGTGGGATCAAACATGGCCTAAGGCTTCTAGTAAAATGACACTATTGCCCCTATACTAACATTCCTCTTGTCCATGCAAACCAAGTTTTATTTTATTTTGTTAGTCCCAGTCCTAGGCTAGTCCAGATGATTCTAAGCAAGCTGATTTTTTATCGCCCTCTGCCCACACGCTGGTGAATCTGTGCTCGACTGCTCGGTAGTCCTAGCGCTGTTGTTGGCTGACAACTCCTATATGAATCTCTTTTACTCTGGGACAGCGGGAATATAACCTAAAGCTTAATTAAATATATACACTCCCTGTCTCACATAAAAACTGAAGTTGTAGGACTGAACATGGATACCAAGGAACAATGCTAAATTACAATAATATCACTGTACATTTCAGGCCTAATCAACACAGATATAATTAGTTTGAAGAAGAAACTTGTGCGGGAGTGTTCTGGAAGACGAGAACGAGTGGACGAGAGGCCTGTGTCCGATTTTTTATCCACGTGTGACAATTTTTTTTTTTTGTACAAAAGACGAACCCAAACGAGTGGAAGATTGGTTTTGCTCAGGATGGATCCCACTAACTGACATGGTAGCATGTGTGTATTTTTTTTCTTGACAAAATTTCGTCCAACAACGAAAGAACAGTGTTTTTCACTTACAATATTTGAGCACAAACAGCAGCATAAATCAAATTTCAGTGAAACGAACAGAGCCATGAATGTTGGGATTGCAGTTTGTTTGGAACGGAGGGAGTAACTAATATACTATGTTCAATGAGTATCATTAAATTAATTAATCATGAAAAGATAAACCCATATAAAGGAAATGGTCAATATTGTTTTGTATAAACTCAGCCTGCGGAGGTCATGACCACCCCCACGGTATTGTGATTAAGAAAAGGCATTCTCACACAGACCGAGAAAATCCTCGAACCCCCGCTCCATCCATACACAGGGAGCCGTCATCCATGAGAAGGGCCGTCTCTTAACCTATGCTTTGGTCCTGGGACGAGTGAGGAGATTTTTTTACCCTCAGCCTGAAATTCGCTCCCATAGGAGTTCGAGCTCAAGAACCGAGGGCACTACTACAATAAGCATTTGTAGGGGCGGCTGGCAATGATTTGTAGAGACGGTTCGGCCAGACGCCCCTACCATACCGTCTCTACAAATCATGTATTTGTAGAGGCGGTTTCTAAACCGCCCCTACAAATCGATTTATAAGGGCGGCCGTAGTACCAGCCGCCCCTATAATACCTGTTTATAGGGCGGTTCAGTCTAAAACCACCCTACAGTATATTTTTTCACAAAAAAAAATTCAAATTTACAATTCAAATTCGACCAGAACATATATATATATACATATATATATATATATACATATATATATATATATATAATTCAAATCTGACCACAAGCATAAGAGCATTATATAAACTAGCATTACAAGTCCAATTAATAAGAATATATACAATCCATCATTAAATAGATATAATTCACAAGTCTAATTCGTTTCACAAGTCCAAACCGTCCCACAAGGTAAGACCAATGTCAAATTCCATACACATTGTTATCAACGACCTAGAGCTAGCCTTTCAGTCTTACGAATGTGTTGGTATTGAGGATTTCTACCTAAGTCAGAATCTCGATCATGGTTGGGGCATGAACATTTCGCCAGTGACTTGAACGTTTCGCCATGAAAAAGGATACAGTGGTTGGAGCATGCATGGATTTTTTTCAACCCGTCAATGGACTTATGACCTCCTTCGTTTGGTATGTGTTGACGGGAACTAAGTTTGATTGTGGCAGCACCCATGACAGGAGACGCAATAGATCATTGAAACTATAATCTAACCAGTTGTACTTAGCCTTCAGGATGAGTAGCTCAAGCACAAAACGTAGCAATGTCCAGTGTGTCGGACAACCCTTTTCAACACCATACACAACCTCCTTCGATGCTTTTTTCACCCTTTCAAAATTTTCTAGATCTTTCGGGCTCTTTAGTAAAATATTTGGTCTAATGGGTCGAATCATGTCCTCCAAATTATCTTCATCCCCGACATGTGCTCCGCCATCATTATTGGCACCACCTTCGTCATTACCATCCCAACCACCAGCATCACCACCTTGTTTATTGCCAAACCCGGGATCCATTCGTGCATCAAGCTCTATTGAATATTGGGACACGAATTTTAAGGTTTCATCGTCGTATTCCTCCTCATCCTTGTCGTTAACAATAACCGTTTCACCATGATGAATCCATACTGTGTAGTCCTCAACAAATCCTCACATAAACAAATGTGATCTGATGATATTCACATCTGTCCATGCCATATGGTTCTTGCAATCTTTATAGGGACAAATAATTATATCCTTATTCTTTGTCAACGTCGTTGCATGCTTCTTTGCGGCTTCAATAAATTTATCCACCTCTTCACGGAAACCTGCCTTGAACCTTAACGAACCATACATCCAAGAGTTCTTGTACTCCATCTTTTACAACAACAACAAAACAAACATTAAAGGACTATTTATTCAAATATATATAAAAATAAATGAAATTAATAATTACTTGAGAATAGTTGTATATACTTCAGATATATATGAATATAAATCAAATATAATTACATGAAGCATACAAACATACCATGATAGAGAAAAATTAATTAATGACCTATTTATCCATAAATAATTAAAATACATATTTGTTGATTACAATAAATAATTTCAAAGACAATAATAAGCAACAATTAATATTTTACTCAATATCTTTCATGCAAACCCAAGTCTAATTTCATCAAACATAAATTTACAAAAACAAAATTAATAAAAAAACAAAACCCTAGATCTAGATCTACATGCACATGAAACATCCATAAAACTAACTAATTGTTCACTAAAATCAAGAAACATGGACCAAATACGGGTATGATCTTGTTCCCCTACCTAATTTACCCTAGTACATTCAAAATTTGGGTCTAATTTGCTTCATAAGTAGCTCAAACACCATAGAAGAGAGAGAAAAGCAAAACTCTAATTACTCACTAACCAACCATTAAAACTTCAAAAAATATGGAATAGCATTTTCTTACCTTCTACAACATCTCCACCAAAGGATTTAAGATCAAAACGTCCCACCCTTAGTAGAGCAATTTTTGGGAGGTGCCCAAAGGCTTATCTACTTTTTTTCACGGGTTGAAGTAAGTGACCCGAGGAGGAAGAAATGACTGCAGGTTTTTATACGTGTGGCATTTATAGGGGTGGCTGATAATTGAGTCGCCCCTACAAATCGCAACACAGGGGAGGGCTGGTGAGTGAGCCGCCCCTACAAATCGACCTATTTGTAGGGGCGGCTCGTATCACCAGCCGCCCCTACTGTGCCATTTGTAGGGGCGGCTGGTCTCGTGGGTCCCGAGCACGCCCACTGTAAGGTCGGCTCCATCCCCAGCCGCCTCTAAAAAAATTGAGACATTGCTACAAACCCTTTTTTAAGTAGTGGGGTGCCACTGAAACTGCTAACCAACTGGACTAGCATCCCTTTTTCTATAAACATAGCTATTTGGGTCCTATATCCCTTGTAGGGTCCTCGTTTTCATGTGTCCTAAACCTCACCCATGGTAGTTGTTTTACA